GATGAGGAATGGATGCAAGAATGGAATGGTATAGTAGCGTTAGCGTCACCTGTACCTAGGTAAGTGTAATCTGTATTTTTTGCTTTTTTCTCGTTTATATTTGCGTTCATTACCTCAACTTAGTCTTCTTAGATTTGAATTTCTTATAAAAGTTTTCTTAGGAGAACTGATGATTCAAGCTCTGATTCAACGGATCAAATTTATGAAAGCCTCGAAGCTATTCACGTGTTTGCACTAGCTCATGTGCTAAAAAGACCCATAATAGTAGTTTCAGATACGGTAAGTTCAGTTCCAACACTGAAGGCATCAAGGCTAATTTTATCCTTCAGGTTCTCCGCAATGCCAAAGGAGAAGAATTATCACCAGTCTCTTTTGGAGGAATCTATTTACCCCTAGAGTGTCCGTCAGAGCAGTGTCACAGGTAATCTTTCTTAATTTCTCCATTTTGTTTGATAACCGGTAACCCGATCCTTTTCAAGGTCACCTCTGGTACTTTGCTATGATTCGGCGCATTTCTCACCGCTAGTCCCGATGAGGCATGATTCATCGCAAATGCGTAAGTGGCGGTTTTTGAGATTAAGTGGATATTGAATTTGGGAATGAATTTGTTTCAGAGATTATTCCAATAACAGATTTCAATAGAAATCTACTTCCTGTGCATTTTGCTATCGATCCAGGACCAGATTTTAGTTGGTGAGCATTTTTTAAAAAATTGCTAGTATATAGAAAATCTTATTATTGTCAGGAAAGAATGTGCTTCACCTTCACAAAAAATGTGAGAATTGAACCTACCTTGGCTGTTTAGAATCCAAATATTTCTTTTCGTTCTGGCTTTTAGAACAGTGCATGAAGTGTTAGGAAACTGTGAATGTTGCAACTGTGATAGAGTATATTTTGAAGAGGATTAAAAATCTATTAAAGGTGGAGTGATGAGGATGATGCGTCGATGGCGGCGAGACTGGCGATGACCGACGGCGATAAGCTAGCGCTATTGAGCGAATATATGGATCTGGTGAAAATGGATGTGCGAAGGGGAAGTGTGAAAAAGACGAGACCGATACGTACCACACAATCGTCAACAGGGATGGATAAAAGTATGACATTGGCTAGTAGCGGTTAGTGGGTTAATTTTAGCGCTGGGGCTTGCTGTTTTTCTTCGTTGCAAAAGCATTCTATTTCATTTCATGAATATCTAGTTCATTTGAATCCTACAGATTTAGAAATGAAAAGATAATTTGTGAAATAAAATAGATCAGTGATTGAAATCATGAAATAAAGCAGATTTTTGGCATGTACCAGGATTTTTGCATCAGTTTCTTCGAAGTTCCTATTTGAAAGTATTAGTATTCCCATTACTGTTTGCGATAGCTCATCTACTTGTTTCGAGTCATCCAATTTCTTTTTGTTTCTTGCCAAAATTTTGCACAGTTCGTTAAACTCACGACAAAGATGTTTAGGGAATTCTTGTTTTTTTTTAATTTCTTTTGCACTTGCTCGAAACCTTTTCTGGATGTGCGACATGTCCGAAACCATTTACATGGTCAGATGTCATATTAGCACTAGTTGCAAGGTAATTATCGTAGCTACCATTTTGGGGCAGTGCCCGCTTATTAGTCCACTTTTTATGCAGGCGTAATTCTAAAGTTCAGACCTATTTCATGGCGTGGAGGTCAGCGCGGCGTTATTAGGAGGAAATGGAGTTACATATTCAATTCTAATTCAAGAAAAGTTCAGAGTTTAAAAGTCTTTGGCACTAAAATCTGAAATTTGGTTTTTTAAGGGATGTTTGTAGAGTGGCTAACTGCTTATACTGCTAATTTTTTGTTGCCTTTTTCTATAGTATACAAAGATAGTTTAGTGAGAATGTTTTTTGATTTGCAATTGAACGTCGGAGGCCAGAGTCCCATTTACACGTCAAAGGGAGCCGACTATCAACAATCTCTTGGATTCAAGAAATAAATTATTAACAATATTCAAATGTTGAGATTCATCGAACGTCAAACATTATTTTAGAGTTTTCCTCTATGTAAAGGTTGTCAAATAACGATCAGTTAGTAAATAATAAAACCCTTATTAATGCTTGTTGATGAAGATGTAGATTACAGAGCCAGAGAGCAAATAAACTAAGAATCCGCAATTTTAGGCGTAGCAGGCGGTACACAGGAGAAAAAACGCATAATCAATGAGATTACTCAACAATTTCTACGTACATTCCGCCTTTCAAATGGAAAAAATAAGGAGAATGGCATCGATGCGCGTGTGAGTATACTTTTTTTCTTCTGTTTTTGGTATTTGTTGATTTATTCGATCTTTTTCGTTCATGTTTCTATTGCGTTGCTCACTTATTGAGTTTAGACTTGTGCTGCTGATTTATCGCGTACGAGTTGTCTCATAGCATCACGTTTGGTATCATCATCACATGAGTACATGGAAGAGATGGTTAGAGAGTATATGAGGAGTGCTAGGGAGAGATTTTTGAGTTCAAAGCAGGTGAGAGAGGATCCACTTTGGATTTCAGTTTCAGTTATTTATTGATATCCATCACACCTATTATAGCCCCAGAGTGGCAGAAAACGTATAAGCCGATCATTCAGCGCGTCTTCGCTCATGATCACCTGCATAAATCAATATTGCGGAAAGGTACATTGACGAATTTATTCTTTAGCTTGTTCTTCACTGTTTATGTTACAGCCAGCGTTACAAAGCAACAACTTCCTTTGTCGAGAATGCTTTGAACATCAAAAGGAACAGATGACGTCGTTCAACTGCGAAAATCCGCACCTACTCAGGAGAATTCCGGCCGCGGTAGTGTCAACAACAGCTAAAAGCACAACAATGCCCGCAATTGCCACGCCCACTAGAACTGCGCCGCGTGACGCATTGCGTACAGCGGGACAAAACTCGTCCAAACCAGCACC